GGCCAGGTAGGCAAAGTTGGAGGGTATGAGTAACTCACACGAAATTTATTCGTTATCCTCCTTCTGCTGCTGAATTCCTTAACCTATATTCAGAAATATAATATGTTGGGAGATGGTGCACTGCCGCTGGTTTTTTTGTTTAAATCCCATTTTTCCACTTAGCAGTTTTTTAGTAGTTAAGTTTTCTTATTTCTGTAATTTTCTTTATGTACTGAAATTTTTTTTCTCTATTCAATGTTGATGAAAATGTTAAAGTTCTATGTACAGTGAACAATTAGAAAAATATAAATTCTCCCTGAATAATTTTTGTTCCACCGACCAGAATTTTGAGTACTAAAATCAATGTCTTAATGGTTCAAAGAATTAACTTTAACTATGCTGCTGATTAATTAGTTCTAACTACGAAATAAAAAAGTACCTTATCTGAATATATATATATATATATTTATATATATATATTTTTGACCATTCAAATATGGAGGGTTGCCAAGATATGTAGATAGAAATAAAGATCATGTTTCAAGTGCTATAAATAGACGTCCATTCTTAAGACTTTGCCAGGCATAAATGAGAAGAAACAAAAGTGATTTGAAGTATGAAACATAAAGTTGCCTACAAAAAATGGAAAATAGAAGTGAGAAAAAACCCACAGTAGTCATGAGTAAAACAAAAATAAACGTGAAAAAAAACAGAGTTAAAACTGATGTGAAAAAGAGCTGATGCGACTGGGGTGGAAATGATTTATGCTGCCCATATTGTCTTGCACATGTGTGGCCTACCTTATTTTTTGTATTTATTTTTATTTTGTATATTTTTTGTCCTTGGGTTCGAAAGGTTGTACACTTCTAGTTAAAGTGATTGAGATTATCAACCCCTTCCTGATAACTCAGGAAAATAAACTGATGTTAAAACAATGCTTTTTAGCTTGTTAAAAAATACAAATCCAGCTTAACAATATTTGAAAGGGTAAATTTCTGATTTTAATCAAACATCAAATATGCTTCTGTGACTGTAGATGTTAACCACAAAGAAATATAATGCAGCTTCATGTTATTTAAATTTAAATTAATTTTCATTTGAATTGATTTGTAATATTTTTTAAATAAGTAGTCCCAGACTAAGCATACTGGTCAAAAAGTCTTGAAACCTCTGTATTATGTTTCTTTTTTTTTTTTTATCTAACCTTAATATGATTTTTTTTTTGTCTAACCTTAATATAATTTTTTTTGCGGTTTTTTTTTTAAAAAAAAGAAAACAATTAATTAAAGCAATTCCCGGACAAGACTTCATCGCTTTATTACTTATTTGTACAAGTGTATTACCATTTTTTATAAATCTTTCTGGAACCATTAAAATATGTACTAGTTTGTAAAGAACTTTACTAAATCAAAAGTTATTAACTAATTCAGTATCTTTTAATGAAACATCTGTTTACTATGGCTCTGCTTTCTCTCATTACACAAACTCATTATAAACTAATAAGAAATTTGCTTCTACAATTCTTCATTTTTATCAATAAATCAGTGTTTTCTGAATGCAACAATTAAATAAAGCTGTTTTACTGCGTCTGTAAAATTACAAATCTCTGACATTACTACATTTTGATTTCTCAGACGTTTCTTCAATTTTATCAAAATATGTCCGGAAGCACTGATAGATATCGTATAAAACTTTCTCATGTAATTTATTTCAATAGGTCACTTTTCGCACAAGAATTTATCACTGTAATATAAACAGTCAAGGAGTTATTTGTCTAGATATTCTAAAGGATAATTGGAGTCCTGCTTTAACTATTTCCAAAGTTCTTCTTTCAATCTGTTCACTACTTACAGATTGTAACCCAGGTACAGTATCAAATATATTATTTTATATATATTGTAACTTTACATTTTTGGTAATAGAAGTCACAATTTGTTTGAAGAAATTAAGTAATAAGTTCAATCATGTAATTTTGTCTCTACAAATTCTAAGAACTCATAAAAGATAAATGATTTAATTTGTTAAGTGAATTACAAAAAGCTGAAATTGTATATCAAATAAACAGCAATGGTTTGGGCTGTACAGTCAACAGAAAAACGATATCACCCTGAATAACTTTTGTTCTAATGATTGGACTTTCGCATACTAAGTGCCAATCTTAACGGTTTCTGGGGGTAACCTCAAATATGTTAATTGTTTACTGCTAATTATTAATTAAGTTATGAAATCGGATACAAAAACGTACTTTCTCTGAATAAACATATATTTTTTTTACATATTTGGATTTTTAATTTTCAAAATATTGGGAGTACTCGCAATCTGGGAAATGTGGTCCCCATAGTTTACCCAGGAGAGTGATTTAAAGTTTGAACTCCTTAATGTTAATTTCACTTCTTGCGATTTTAGTCATATTTAAAAAACTAATTAGGCAATTCAAAAAAAAAAAAAAAGAAATTTACCAATCTAAAGTTTCAAACAGTTTTTATTTAGTAGAAGCTGTGAAAAATTAAAATTAATTATTTTAAAAAAAAAAAATTGGCAGCAATGAAGAAATATTTAAATGGGGGTGATTAATATTAAAATGTGATTAACTTGCAAGGAACTTGAATTCACGTGTAGCATAAAATTTCTTACATATTTTTTTTTGCTGATAACCGATTGCTATTCCTTTTATTTTTTTTAAACTATAAAATGTTTCTTTTTTTGTAGTCTAAAAATTTATTTGCAATTTACTGAAGAAATTTGATTAAAACATTTTATTAAATAAAAAACATTTTATATAACGAATGTTGAGTTTTATAAAGGCATGCTTCTGATAGGATATAAGTATACACCAGATTGTGCTTATTTAATGTGATTATATTTTATTTCTTAGTTTGTTTTCTCGATAATTTATACAATGTCAATTATATACATATGTATGCATAGATTTTTTTAAATATATTTATCAATTTCTTCAATATATATTATAATTATTAATACGAATACCTAGTCGACAACATCTTATATATCATCTTAATCTTAAAATAAATTTTTTAATCGCCTGTCCCCGAGAGTTTCATACAATTATTTTACCAGCAATTTAATTAAATTTTAACATTTTTAAAAATCTTATTCTTTACGCTACTACGTATATTATTTCTCGCTAATATACTAATCTAATTTTTTAGTACTTTAATTTAAGTTTTACTTAAAGTAAAGCTCCTTTTTAAATTATTGTCAAGTTTTTTTTAGAAAGAAAACTTAGAATTATTGTCTGCTAGTTAAGAATAAAACCTTGTTAAGAAATTAAAAGCATTCCAATGTTTTAAATTATTTGATGCATAACAGCTGATTATTTACTAAGCATACTATTTTTTTCGAAAAAAGAATATAAATTATTGATTGTCTTTTTTTTATTTCTTGTGACTTCAAATTAGATTATCTAAAATAGTATTGATGTTTTATGAGTCACTACAAAGGGTATAAAGATACTGAACATAAGAAGCTGTCAAATACTTAGAGTCAAATACGTTAAAAAAGTTTTTAAGCGTCTTAGAATATCTCGGTATCTTAAATGTTGTCCTAACATCCTACTTTGGAAATTAAATTTTTAATTATCTGACCTCGTGTGATTCTCAGAACTGTCCAAATAATTATTTCATTATATCTTTTACTCTTTCTTTATGATACCATATAGATTTTTTTCTGGATAGTATACTGAACTATTTTGTTTAATTTTTAACTTTATCACGATTCCCAATCTATTATTAAAGTATAATTTGTTGTTAGGAAAATGCCTTATTTTGTTAAGCGGCAAGTACTAAAAATTGAAATCTGTAAAAAGTTTTCAAAGCCATGCCAATTTTAGAATCATCTGATTTTTTAAAAAATGCAGTAAAAAATACACAATTTTCAAACTTATTTTGATGAAGAAAATAATAATAATCATCGAGAAAATTAACATATTTTTTATAGAAGCTGTGAAAACCAATTTATCCTATATTTCGTCATAAGAAGATAAGATTGATATTGCTCCAAGGAACCTACTCAATAATTTCATTATTTCCGGAATGATATCTGTTAGATCAAAACTTATTATTCATTGAAAACTAAAATGAGTAAAAAAGAGCTTATTCCATTTATTTAATGATAGCGATATCAAGGTTAAGGATATGCAATGGAAGCGCCATTTACTATTATTCTATAAATGCATTAAATCATATAGCTTGAATAATTTATTTTAAGCAAATTATTTAACAATTTTAAGCAAATAATTGTGTAAAAATAAACTCGATCGAAATACTCCTTAAGTATACCCTAAAATATATGTAGAATGAACTTTGGAATCGATCGATTAAAAGTGCCTTTTCAAACAACTCTGAGTTGGAGGGAAACGCTAAATTGTTTAAAATATCTGTCCTTGTAACTATTTTATTTTGATTCCTGGTGCAAAGGCACATTCCATTTTCACATTCTACTTTTAAAATTTTAATTGTAAAGGGAATTTTTTATGTCCTTAATAAATGTTAAGGCATGCAACAACAAAAAATTATTGCATTGATATTTTTAGAAAGTAGTGAATTATTATCTTTTCAATCTAAGAACCTATGCCTATATCTTACGTAAAACTTATTTTATTATCGAGAAATAATTTAATATGCTGTGTTGCTAAATAGATAATCCCAAGAAACTAAATCGAAAATATAAAAACTTCCATTACTTGATTTAAAAAAAATAGATGATAAAAGTAGACATTTTTTGAGCATCCAATAATTAAAGTCAGAAGTCATTAACACCTGACAAGTCTTGAGAATGGGCGCTTATATTTGAAAGCTCGAAACATGTTGACTTTTTCTTCCCTCTTCATATTTTTGGAAGGCAGTTGAGTTTTTATCATCAATTACATACCCGGTAACAACCCCGGAATTTCCGGAGCATCTCCGGAAATTCCAGTGTACTCCGGGCACTCTGCAAAGATATACATTTTACCCGGAAAATAAACCCAGTAGCTAATTTTCACATTTTTCTTAAGATGACGTCACGTAATCCTATTCCCCGCCCCTTTCACGTCAGCTCCTTCTCCTCCCAATCGAGAACGGTGTTTCTTTTCCCCGCGCTCTTGTGGTATAGTGCTGACGTCACCGAACCTGCAGAGCTAGAACTGGTCGAATGACGTCACCATTACATTAAAACTGTGGTGCGAGCCTGTCGTGTTTACTTTTTTCTGCTGCCGACGCTAGGCTTAGTTGAAGTTAGTTGCTGTTTGAAGATAAGATCATGGCTTCCAAAAAACATTCACAGATGTATAGAAAAGAATATTCTGTCGAATGGCCAGTTTTTTCTCGCTCGACTAAATCTATGAATCATGTATACTGTAATATTTGCAAATGCGATTTTTCTATCGCTCATGGAGGTCGGAATGACTGTTTACGGCATGTGGAGGGATCGCGCCATCGAGCGAATGGTGCCGCTTCTTCCTCCAGTAAAAGTATTAGAGATATGTTCTCTAGTTCCTCAAAAGAGAGCCAAAGTGTCATTAAAGCAGAAACTCTCTTCACCAATTTCATAGTTCAGCATAATTTACCTCTATCTGTTGCGGACCACGTAGGCCAGTTATTTAAAAGAATGTTCCCGGACTCTAACATAGCGGCCAAATTCAAATGCGCTAGGAAAAAAACGACAGAAATCTGCAAAAGTCTTGCAGAAACTACTCAAAATAATTTGTGCTCCATAATGAGGAATGGAAAGTTTTCTCTAGCGACAGACGGGAGCAATTCGTCTGGCGATAAGCTTTTTCCTCTGGTGGTAACATTCTTTGATGATACCAACGGTAGAATTAAGACTACCCTTTTCTCTCTTCCAAAATTGGATAAGGATGGTACCGGGGAAAACATTTTCATGCTCCTTGATAGTGTGTTGTCAAAAAATAGTGTTCCCTGGGAACACTGCATCGCCTTTTGTGCAGACAATGCTTCAGTTATGCTTGGACAACATAAAGGAGTGGGGTCATTTATAAAGAAAAAGAATCCTAATGTCATCATTCATGGTTGTGCTTGCCACTTAATCCATTTAGCTGCTAAACATGCTACAAAAAAAATCAGTTTTGATGTAGAAAGTTTTTTGATAGATGTGTTCTACTATTTGAAGAAGAGTTCAAAGAGAATCCAGCTTTTAAAATTCTGTGAAGAACTATGTAATCTTGAAAACAGCAAGGTTCTTAAGTATGGGGCTACAAGGTGGCTATCAATGGGCAAAACCATTGATCGATTTTTAGAGAAATGGGATGCCTTAAAAATCTTTTTTTGTGAGGAAGAGAAGGGCTCTTCGGAAACTTTTAAAAAATTGAAGACTATTTTTGAGGATAAATCGACTCAACTCTACCTTTTCTTTTTACAGTCAGTCATCCCATTGTTTGAATCGTGCAATACGATGATGCAGCAGCAAGCTCCATTGATTCATAGATTTCAGAGAGAACTTATGAATTTATTTAGCAATATTTTGTCTCGATTCATAAAACCAGCATGCATAGCAAATGCAAGTTCTGTTTTTGAAGTCAATTTTAATAAATCAAAGAACCAAAAAGATGATTCTGAACTTGTGATAGGTGGCAAGACAAGACAATACATAAAAGATTCAGACCTTTCTTCAGAAGAAATGAGGCAGTTTTATTCGTCAATCAGAAAATTTTATACCGAAGCACTCTCTTATATTTTAAAAAAATTTCCCCTGACCACTGAAGTTTACAAGCACTGTGAAGTGGCTGATATAACCATTCGACATGAAGCTAAATTTGCTTCTTTGGACTATTTTTTGTCTCTGTTTTTTGTTTCAGAGGAAAAACGGAGTCAAATTGAGCAAGAGTTTGCTTTATACCAAATGGACAAACTAAATGAAGAGATTTTATCAGCCGAACGATGTGACACAGCTTGGACTCTTATATCGGGTTTAGTGGATATGAATGGTGCAAGGAAATATGAAGCATTGCCATCAATAATGCTGACCATACTCATTTTGCCTCACAGCAATGCTGCTTGTGAACGGGTGTTTTCTATAGTTAAAAAAAATTTAACTGATAGTAGGTCCAGCTTGGCTTTGCCAACCTTGGAGGCACTGCTAATAGAGAAGTGCAAAAGTTCCGAAACATGCTGCTATGATGCAGTGTTAACTGAACAAGACTTAATAAAAGCTAAAAAAGCTACTTATGTTTCTTTAACTGGCGAAAAAGTTTAAGTCTTTGATATAATTATGTATAATGATAACAATATAACGAGGAAAGTGTTCGTTTTATTAAAATTTATTTTTCATTTGCTTTATAATTATTTTGTCTACAATTCTTTCATAGTAATCTCATTGCATAATGTAAGTTTAAAAAATAATTATACTTTTTTTAAAATCATTAAAAAAGTGAATAATATAGTTAATTTTAATCATGATTTAATAATCTAAGATGGTCTATATATTGTTCAGTAACTAGTATTAATTTTCCATTTTCAATATTTTTCTATTAATTATACCCTTCTAAAGTAATGTATCTTTAAATTTATGCACAAAAATATGAATAAATTTGTTCCGAGTTACACTCCTGAAAAGACTCCCAAAACCCCTGATGTTTTTAATAATATCTCCTGAAATCCTTTTTACAAAGTTACCAGGTCTGCGATTATACTATTTTACATTTGGGTCTTGATCATTATTGTGATACAGATTTTCCTCTCGTTAGAGGAAGCATGCATTTTAATATTTTAACAGGATTCTTGTGGTCTTTAAAAACCTAAGTGAACTGTAGCATCAATATAAAAAGAGATTGTATCAAATATATGTAAGAAAAAAAAAGAAAATCATAGCAATATTTGGTGGTAGATGTAGCTTATCGTAGTACAGTATGGGACCCCTAATCCGGCATCCCGAAATTCCGCACTTAATCCGACCTATATATATATATATATATAATTTTTTTTAAGAAATTTTAATTGATAAGAGAGAAAAAAATCAGTCATATTTTCTTTTTATTTGGAATTTTTTTTCTCTTGAAGTAACTATATTTTATCTTTTAAAAATAAAAGCATGAAGAGAAGGAATAATAAATCTGTGTCAAGCAAACCATTGATTCCCAAAGCAGTTGAAATTGAAAAGTAAAAACATCTGCATTTCCAATGAACAAAATAAAGAAATGCAAGTTGGGAGAAACTGATCAATCAATCTTGACAGCTGTGCAAGTGCTTTACTGGTTTGTCCCTACATTTCCCTCTCCTGTTTGACCATAAATTAGCCACACCCTTTTGACATTGAAACTTTCTTCTCACTTGGTGTACAAAATGAATTCTATCCCTTTTGCTGTCTTTTTTTAAAATTCAATTTATTTGTATTTTTAATAGTTATTAAATATTGCTTTTTTTTGTTACTTGTTAACTTGTTTTTTTTTATCATTATTAGTTGTTTGCTTCTTTTTTGTAGTTATTCATTGTTAGTTTCCTAGCATTAATTGTTAATTTTTTTTTTTAGTTCCTTGTTAGCTTTTTTTTTTTTTTTTTTAACAAGGTGAGCGTCTTTAGTTAAAACAAAATGTTATGTAGTAAAAGAAAAAACGAGAACAATGATCTTGCTCCGAAAAAGAAACGATTATTTCTTTTTCAGAGGATTCGGATTATTTCTTCTTGATTATATCATGTACATTATTATTTTAATTAATGAAATTTATTATTTTAATTAATGAAATTTCTAAAGAGGGGACAGTTTTAAATTCACCCCATCATAATCTACATTTGAAACTAGCTAAATGTATTGGTTTTTCTGAAATTAACAGCATAACTGATTTATCGTAATATATGGGCGACATATTGGAATTTCCGTGAGAGATACGGAATTTCGTCGATCCCGTGAGTGCCGGATTTTGGGTCCTATACTGTAGAAGAACATGCTGTGCAACATTTTATGGTGAATTTGCGAAAGTAAGTTTCAGAATGTATCGAAACATGAGGATGCTATCCACAAAGCATCTTTATCCAAAGAAAACCATGAAGCCGAATATCTAGCAGAATGAAGTGATTTTTTAAACAATGAATCATACAATATGCAACATATTATTTGAATATCTTATCCTTAAACATAACATATTTCAATGTTTTTAAAATGCCACTTAACATTTAGCAGTTCCTTGAGTAGTAGAAAAAAAAGAAATATCATAAATTATATAAAACCTTGTGAATGTGCATTAGAATTACTATACAATCTACATTTATTTTTCAAGCACTTTTCTTGTTTCTTCAAACTTTAATGTTTAGCAGACTCTATTATAGCTGTAAAAATGTTTATCCTTAAAATTTTGCATATAGTTGTATGTAAATTTGATTTCAGTAAAATCCTCAAATAAATATAGTAAAAACAACACAAAAAACTAAATGATATCAATAAAAGTTCTAGTATTTAAATTCTAAAAGCTTAGAAAATTATAAGTAATTTATAAATCGTTTTAAATTTTTCTTTTCAAAGTAGATTAAAGGAAAAAAATCTTAGCTTTTTCGATAGAAATCAGCTTAAAAATTGTCTATTGCATAGAAACTTCGAGATTTTTTTTTAATTAAACCTCTCCGAGCAATCCCAGAACATTATTTCATTTTCTCTTTTATAGTCAGAGCTTGGTTGCTTAGCAATGGAGTAAAATCAAATGTTCCTCTTTAGAATTTGTTTATGGGTTATTTTAAAAATTCATTTGCAGTGGCAACTTTTGTTGGCTGTTTTATGGACTATCGTCAATTATATAATTTTTATTGCGACCCAATTTTTTCAAAATTTTGTCTATTTCAAGGGTCAGGATACCAAATATGTATAAAAAAACAAACATGTTTATTCAGAGAAAGTACATTTTTGTGTCTGATTTCATAAATTAATTAACACAAATTAGCATATTTGAGGCCTCCCCCAGAAACCATTAAGATTGTCATTTAGTTCGTGAAAATTTGATCATAAGAAAAAAAATTTTTAGGGTGATATCTGTTTTTTTGTGTGTTTTTTTTGTTGATAACTAAACTAAGCAGTTGCTGCACTAAGTGTGCTAGTAGAGAAAAGAGAAGTGCGGAGCATCAAGTTCGATGTTTCTTAAATAAAAATGAATCTAATTTCCAAAGCTGTCTATCTTAGCTGGTTTTCATGAAACTGCTGTGTTCATTCCTGATTAGAATTACGTCGTTATTTGTTCTGATTTTTCACCTTTTTTCTAGATTTTTTTAAAAATTACTTTCACTGGAAAAGAACTTAGAAAAACTATATTTCATAAAGCCAAATCAAGTTTGTTTTTATTCAAAAGAAAAAGTAAAAAAAAAACATTTTTCAGATTAAAAAGAGTTAGCTTTGAAAACTGGGACCTCTTCTTTATCTTCCCTTTTTTCTCAGAGGAACCAATTATTGCTGAGTCAGCATTGAAGCAATTTGTTTTTAATTCCTACCCTTTTTACAGAAAGGTTGTTGTTTGTTGAATGTTGTCATTGTAAATTTTGTTTTATCAGAAGCAAGTAACAGGTGCTTCACCTCAAGGTCATGCACAGATGTCTCACACAAAGGCTACTGAAGAAAAGCAAATTTTTAAAAGACATGAAATTTTGTTGTTTGCAGCAAGTAATAAAAAAAATTGACACTTATTTGTTACTTTTTTATTTAACATTAAATGCATGCTTAATATTATCAATATTAGGTATATGCCTATATAGAATTAAGTAGTGGAAACATCATCTAACTGTACTAATTTTGTTAATGATATATGTATTATTGTACTTCTGATTACTGATAGATAGTTAGGGAAGTTGGAATCTCTGTGTTTTATGTTTTCTTATAATTTGTTTAATTTCTGTATACACTGTGATGTTCTATTAATCGGCAATTCTGAAATCGGCGACCATCGGACAACTGAAGTTATGTCTTTTGTTTACATTAGAGTTTGCGTTTACCTCTACCGGCAGTTGGAGGGAAACCATTGGTGGGTAGTGTGGTTGCAATGTGCCTCAGTAGTAGGGAGTTACCATATCTCTCTTCAATAATTGTAATGAGTAGGATATTTGCACATTGTTAGTTTTTTTAATGTTTTATTAGTTAATGTTAAGCAAGTAGCTGCTGACATCAAGTTCATGTGAATAGGTTAATTGGATAAATACGGACAGTTTATACTCGTTCACTAGCTTTCTTACTTACACACTTGCTGGCTCGTTCAAGTCATCTGCTTTATGTACTGCATGCTTGTAATTGCTTCACAGCTTGTGCTGTGCATGACTGCTGCCACATCACTTCCAAGTAACTCGAGACTTTGCTTCTAAGGGAATGTTAGAAATATTGTGTAAAGATATATTTATGACTGAAATGTCTTTGTACTGCAGGTGAAATTATGAATGCAAAAATATCCCCCCCCCCGTCTTATCTATGAAAACATTTAGCTGTATGAATTCTGATAGTTTCTAATTGTCCTACATTTTACTTGAAATTGCATTATTTTGTTTTTAAACTTCCTGGACAATGTTCTAAGTCTAGTTCATAACAAAAATCTAAACTTTAGCATAATAAAAGATCAGAATTGTATAGAAAAACTTGGATGCAACAGCAATTTTATTGTATGTGTACAGGTCGTTCCATACTGATCACTCTTAGTTTGAATCTTAATAGCTTTGGTCAAACTTTAAGTTTAAAAAAATGTTTATGCATTAGCTGTTTCAAATTAGGGTTTATAAACAAAGAAGAAGAAAAACATTGTTGAAATCTAATGATTCCATACTTTAAAAGGCAGGACTGAAAACATCTACTCCAGTTTAATTGCTGAAAGAAATTGTGAAGATTTGCAATCATAAGAAACACTTACATGTTTCTTCAGGCATTTAAACGAGTTTTCATGTTTTTCATTCAAACCTCTTTACTAATTATTCAATAGACTTTTAAAACGTTTTGTTTGTTGTTTAAATATTAATTTGCAACTCCTAATGTGCATACTGTTTTGATAAGGATTCTAAAAATATATATTAAGGGTGGCGATTATGGAACATTTATTATATATTTACTTTTTTATCAGTAAAATTACATTTGAAAGTAACTTTTTCAGCTGATCCTTTGGTAGGAAGCATTGCAACGCAGTATCTTCAACATAGAGAGGAACATGATCGTATTGCCAGACTTTGGACAAAACGTTATGCAACATAAGTTACTGAAAATAAAGAGCTTTTGGATATAGGCTTTGTCACATGCATAGAACATTAAAATTCATTGAAATTTGTGTATATGTTGGTCATGAGTGAGTGTTTTGTTTCTAAAATAGAAGGATTTTTGTGTTTATTTTTTCTCCTTGCATGTGCATTTTTTAAAAATAAATGTATTGTGTGCCATGCTAAGAAATCATTAAAGTTTGAACATTTGCTGATTAAAAAAGTCCTGCATGATTTGTGTTCAAATTTTTACTCACTAAATCAGTTCTTGAAGAAGTAGTTGTAAAAGGATTATGCATAGTAAAATTATTAATATTTAAATTAATGCTTGCAATGCCTATATTTGAAAACATGTTTATGTGCTACACTTTGTAAATTGTGTAAGTGTTAACTTTTAGTTATAAATGTTTGACTTTTAGTTCTGCGGTTAAATTCTTTGTCTTTATTAGCATGTGTTATCTCTGTACAAGTCATTAATGTTTTTCTGAGAAAATTTTGTTCATTATAATAATTTTGTTAAAACTATGATGAAATATATTAATTGATGATCATTTTATTTATTATCAGACATTTGTTTCTATAAGCAAATTGTTAAATACTTAATTATGTGTTAGAATTTTTTTTACCATATTCTGTATATTTCATAGAAAAAAGAAGAAAAAATATATTGTTTCCACCTATTTGACAGACCTTTAAGTGACAAATAAAAAATTCTTTAAATTAAGATACTCTTGTTGTTCTTTTAATAAAAATAAATTTACACACATAAAAAATAAATTTTTTATTTTACCTGTTAAATTTTATTTTACTAATTATTACCCAAAAGTTTACAGTGATTGTGTTTCTTACTGTTCGTAAAATAAAAATGATAAAGGGTGAGATGAGTTTTTGTTTAAAATACATATTTATAACTTTTTATTAATCAAACAGAATGCTAGTACCATAAATGTGGACCACCGAAAAATTTAATATCACTGGAGAGATTAACCTGATGCCTGGATGCATGATAAACCCACAAAATGCCTGGTGAAGAAGCATTTTACAGGCAACTTAGTCCTTCATCCACTCTTAGTCACTTCATCCACTCTTAGACACTTCATATTAAATGTGGATAATTTATTGATAAGAGTTTGAGAAGAAGCAATGAAAGGCATTGTCATCTAAGCTTAATAATTATACAGTGAAATAAAAAAAAATCCTATGTACAATGTTAGTGACTTCTTAAACCTGTTAATTATTGTAGATTGCTATATGGAAATTTTTTTATGCAATTTTATATGGCTGTGAAGGAAGAAATAACTTTTTTATTATTGCAGAGAGTCGACATGTTATTGAGATAATTAAGAATTTTATTAATTAAAATTAAAAATTTTCTAGATTTTTAAATTTATTGATAACACAAATATCCAAATAAGAGAATTCATTTAATGAAGCTTTTGGATTGGAGCTATTAAGGCAACTTCCATATGGCATGAAATGCTTTTAATAAAATATGCAACTCATTTAATAAAACTTTTATCTTTCATCTAACAGGTTTTTCTTTTCTTAAATTACTTGAGACAAAGTTGAATTTTTGTATTAGATTTCACAAATAATAGCACAAAGTCAAGTTGACAACAAAGCTTTATCAAAAAATATGTAGAAATTAATTTAGTATATTTATTAAACCCATAAAGATTAAGAGTCTTAGTTTGAAAAATGAATAAAAAGTTGAAAACAACTCTTGAATAAGTATGGAAATAATCTTGAACAATCATAGTAATGCTTAGTTACTATATATTTAAAAAAATATATTAAGATATGAATTTACTGCTTTTTAAAAATAATTGTTTTAGTTTAGTTAAAAATTATCGAATCGATTGTTTCACACTTAAATTTTTGCAATAATTTTGAGGGAAAAAAGGTGTTTCCTCCTTGTTAATTTATGGAGAAAGTTTTAAAAATACTTTCCTTAAAGTTAAAAATTCAGCAATTTAATTTAATATAATACATTTCAAAGAATAAATTAAAACAAATACTATTTAGAACTATTAGTTACTATCTAAATAGGTAAATTCTGAACATATAATTTTTCCATAGGTTAACATGGTGAAAGAATTTTTTTTTTTTTGTAAAGGGAATTTCAATAATATACAGTAGTAAATAAAATAGTTATCAGCTTGATCAATATGGTGGTCTTGACGAAGGTATATAATACTCTATGAAGGCATATTTCCACTCTTCATATCTTTTGTCTACTTCTCCCTACTAAATGGTTTAAATCGGTTTTCTTTATAGAAATATAAATAAAAAACCTTAATATGCTAACTTTGTATTATTTGAGAGAAGAAAAATTCTCAAAATTTTATACAACTTAGCAAAAGTGGATTATTAAAATTCTGTTAATTTTTTAAATTGGGGAAAATCAAAATCATTAAAGCCATTTTACGTGCTGGAAGAAATCAAAGACTTAATAATCAGTCTAATAAAGAAATGTTAAAATTTAAGTTCTGTTTTGAGTGAAACTGCCACCGCGAGATATGTTTGTTTGTGTCGGCTATTTGGTGAAGCCTCTGTAGTATTTATAACTTTAACAAACACTCTAGCTGCAGGAACAAAATAGGTTTGTGATTTGTTTCCTTTGGTAAAATGAAGAGTTAAAAAGAAAACTTTCAGATGTTTTTTTTAAATTTATTATATTAATTTTAACTGTCTAGAAAATTCATCATGATAAAGATATTATTCCAGTTTGCTTTTCTGTAAAATAGTACAATCAAATTACAATTAGTGGTTACAAAAACTAGGTTTAATGCATTGTCTAGGTAGGCGCATTAATGAAAAATTCAAGTTTTCCAATTCTCCTGACCTATACCATTTTCGAAAACCGCTACATTTTTGGAATTTTTTCTTTTTCAAAGTTAAAAAAATAATAATAATAATGGTTTTAATTAAACTTGAGACCAATTCAAAGCTTGTATGCGTACCTTGGTACGTATCGCGAAATTTGTTGCAGTGTATAAGTCAAATGAAATCTCATGGTATTATAAGTATTCAATTTGATAAATATTTAGTAATATTTTTATGTGTATTTTATTTATTTGTTTTATATAAGTATTAATTTGTATTATGTAAGTACATACATACATTTTATAACTTTTTGTATTTTTCTCCACAATTTTAAAATTATCAATTAAAAAATAGTTAATCCCAAGGATTTCTTATTGTTAATGATATATTCTTTTCAATAATTATTTATTTTACGTCGTTTACACAGTTAAAAAAAGTTCTGAAACTGAGATTTCATATGCAGTAAACATTGGTATTGCATCTCATTACAAAAAAATTTTGTAATTTATTTTTTTAAATTTTTTTTTTCTGAATAATTATTAAATCTATTCATCATTGTATTTAAATAGATCATAATATGACATTATGCATGTTTTTTCCTACTTTAGGCGCAATTTAACATCAGAAATATTTTTATTATTTTACTTAATTAAAACCTAAAGTCCACGAGTGTGGACCAAAAATTATTAGCCCCCAGGTAGTATAATTTGTGTTTTGTTTATCATATTATGACTTATGGCAGTAAAATAGAAATTTGGAACTGTAAAATATTTTTTTGCTATATTCCTTTAAACTTCAGTAGTGAAGGGGTTAATGTTAATTTTACTTTTTGAGTATTTCGCCATATCTTTACAGCTTTTTAAGAGCATAGAAAATTTTTTGCATATAATTGTAAAATTCGTTTGTCCAAAAAGAGAAGGAAAGAACACCTCATCTCTTCTCTTAAGGTGAAAACTAATTAAACATTTCAGTTTATTTTCGAATGGCATTGCTAGAACAATTTGTAACAGGCTCTTTAAAGCTCCGTGTCTGGGAACTGACCTAATGTAATAATACGCTCTACTCCTTTTTTTTTTTTTTTTTTTTTTTTTTTTTTTTTTTTTTTTTTTTTTTTNTTTTTTTTTTTTTTGTTATTTTAAATACAGCTTAGAAGTCAAAATAACTCCTAATTTAAGGATCGAATAAATTTATCTTTAAGGAAGACTTTGAAGGAAAGTAATGAGAATTTACGTAACACACAAGTGAAAGCAACGAAAAAGTTATAAATGATAGTCTGAGTGTAATGAGATTTCATCTCACATTCTTTATTTTTCAAATTGACAGTTTTTGTTAAGATATCCCGAATCATATTAAAACTCTTTTCTGCTAAGATGGATTATGCCTAGAGAATCAATCTTCAATCAAATAGATTTTTTTTAATAAATTATATACAACAAGGTTTTAGAGTCAAGAATTAAAATAAGTGTGCATTTTTCTTTTGTAATGGAAATCTTAATTAAAAACTTTGATTTTTTTTTCGCATTTTATATTACTAAGAAAATTTTCTTAAATTTTATTTTAATCTATATATATANATCCCCTCCGCAGAGGATCAAAATTGTGGTGGCATGTCTTCGGATCATCCTCAGGGATGTTTCCCAGACCGTCGTCAATAGCCCATTGTGCAGCTCTAGTGCGACGTAAATGAACAACAACAATATATATATATAAAGGGTGTCTCAGTTAAACGTTTCAGAACTCCTAAGAGGGCTAGGGTGCATCCTGACGACTGGAAATCATATAGCAATGGAATCATATAGGGTCGGAAACAAGGGTGCCGGCAGAATAATATAAAAGGGGGTGCAACCCTCTAACAAACTACCCCCCCCCCTAAAAAAATTATATTCCGTTATTACATTTTGTTTTGTTATTACATATACTTTTATCTGTTAATTTTTTTCAAGATGCATTTCTTCATTGTTAACAAGATATTTAAAAAAAAGTACGAATTTCATATACTTTCAAATTTTGCCACGAGAAACTGTATTGATGGCGCTGGCATAGCTACTGACTTTGAAACACAAATAACTGCAAACCGTAGTTTTGTATACTAACGTGCTTGTGCATGCTTATCATTGGTATTTATTGTGTTGATGAAGTTTTGCAGTTGTGAGAAGTCAGTTTGTTTTATACATATTTGTTAAACTAAATAGCTAATAGAAAATATAATATTATTTATATTTTATTAAATGAAATTTAAAAATATAGCTTAAATTTCTGCCAAGTTTGTGCATGCTCAGTGTGCATAAGAAAAGAATCAGAACTCATTGAAGAACTCAGAATTCATTGAAAAAGCTATAAACAGATTTAGAGATCAAACAAGACGATTAAAATTCTTGTTTGATTAAACAATTTTTTAATTGTTATGTATCAATAATTACTTAATTATTTGCTTTTTAATAAAAATATTTTTAATAAAAAAATAACAAAATTGTTTTTCTGTATCTCTTTAATTGTTTAAAAAAAAGCCAAGGTAGTGCAAGTGCACCCCCTTGCACTCCGCTGCCGGCGCCCTTGGTCGGAAATGCTTTCTAGACGCGGTAGGTTGCGTTGCGCGAAAGTTCCGAGCTTTCATGCAGGGAATCGTTATTTAGAACAAGTACGCGAAGTTAGTAGGATGGCTGATTATACGAAAGCAGAGTTAGCCGATATGCATTTGGCGTACAGGGCTGCAGATTGTAGTGGGCCAGCCGCACAGCTTTTCTATGCTGAACGATATCCGACGAGGTGCATTCCCAGTCATAATTTCTTTGCCCGCCTGCACCAGAGGTTAGCTGGGACGGGTTCATTTTAAAAAGCTGGCAGGGACCGGAAAAGAACAGCACGAACGCCGGCCGTTGAAGAGAATATGCTGCAGCT